CCGACAGTGCTTCGTCTGTCTTCGTCTTGGATCTCGTGTGTGTGTTGTTGGTGTTTGTTTTGTTTCCGTCTGTTCTAGGGAACCACAAACAGCACTGTAGTTGATCGTGAATTGACGCCATGGTCTATTCGATCAGTTGATGATCTGGTATTGGAAGAAAGAAATCATTCCGAAAGGCGACCGGATGTCGTGGAGTTTCCAGAGGTTTGGATTGAATGACTTCAAAAAAAAAAGGTAGAACTCGTGGAGTTAAGAACCCACTATGAGAAGGAGGTCCAATAATCCACCTGACGCTTTGACATCGTGGGACGGTTGATGGATTCTGAGCTGGTGATGTTGACTGGTTGAGGATAGATGGGAGCTGTGCCCATGGAGACGTCTATGGAGTATTGCTGACATCAGCGCTGACGATGGTTGTGGATATGGATAGGCTGTTTATTTACGATGAGCGAAGTGTTGGAGGAACAACCGTCTATTTCTTTGAGGATCAGGTGATTTCTCAGAGACAGTTATATGTTTTTGGAAACTTCGAATGTTTCAGAGGAGTTTAGACTTCATTTTTCCGTTGAGGTGCTTGGAGCATCGAAGTCTCCTGGCGAATACGACGTATTCTACGAGTTTGACCTTGAAGGTATGGCGAAGTTCATACTGGATATGCATCTGAGATGTTTGTGAAGTCCTTTGACTACCTCTTGCGAGTATGTGAGATACTTCGGCATTGTGAGGACAATGCCTACGTATAGTATTCGACATCTAGGTATGTGATCTGGAAGTCTGATACTCCGGCATTGAGAAGACAATGCCTACGTATAGTAGTCAACCTCTGGGTATTTGATCTGGAAGTCTGCTTTGTGACCTTTATCTTTGTGACTTATTGCTGACGTTTGGTTATTGTGGTGAGCGAACTACTTTAGCGCTATGACTGCTGATGACTGGGTATTAGCTGAGAAGTCGAGCAGAACATTCTACTCTCCACGGTGGTTTAGAGCTATGAGAAGACATCTCTGTGTGAAGAACTGTTTTGGAGATGGAACAGGAGGTTCCATGTTGTTCTGTATTGCAAGAGAACTTTGTAAAGGAATTTGAATGGATCATTTCGTTCTTGAATAGCCGTGTGACTAGTCTAGACGTTTTGGTAGAGACTAGTAACACCGGCTAGCTGGTTATTTGCGTTTGGACGAGAACCAGTTTGACTTGAGAACTTTTGGAAATGTTTCTGACTTTTTGTGACTAGGTGATTTGTATATCATAGCAGTTTGGAATTGTTTCAGCAACCTTTGAGGAAAGGTTGTGGATTGGAAACCTGGAATCGAGTTTCCCAGTTGAGACATCGGCTCAAGGGAGTGGTGTCAAATGTTCCGAAGCGAACTGAACTGCAGTGTCACCTAGGGCACTTGAAACAGTAGCCACACTGGAACTTCTTTCCTTTGTTTGTGGGCTGTGGCCGTGTGCCTGCCCTGGTTCTGTTGACCTGTTCCGTTGTGTGTGGCGTCTGGAGAGAAAAGAAGGAGTCTGACGTGCACTTAGGAGTCAGGGTGGAACAAGTTCCTTTATTTTGACATTGCAGAGAAGTAAGTAACTGCGGAGCCGCAACCACAGTAGGTGTTTGCGTCTGGCGTAGTGAAATAATGAAAGCGTTGATTTGGGTACACGAGAGGTGTACTTGGGTTTACGTTTTTCACAGTGTGACGCCATGTCAACAGACATGCTGGAGATCCCTTACGTGTTCACAGCAGCATGGATTGGACTTCTTGGTGCTTACTTGCTCTGGATGTCACAGTGCACACATGTCAGAAAGGGCACGCCGGACATGATCAGTTGGATGTTCGAAAGGTGCAATCGCCGTTACGAAGATGCGACTCAGGCTGGAGACACAGTTCGTGCTCATGCCTACAACCAACGTCGAGCACTACTTGCAGACTTTATGAACTTCATTGGAGCTGCAAATGACTCTGAACGAGATCAAGCAACCGAGATGTTGAACACAATCGATGACATTAGCAGTCACGAGAACAGCCCAACAAAAGATATGAACGAAGGTGAGGACAACCGCTCTCACCGAATGAGACTTGGCCACCTAGCCTTGGTGAATCTACAGGGCCTCATGGCCACACAACTTCAAGAATGCAGTTGGGATGGATCTACCTCACATAGCTCTTGGTTTGTAACAGCATTTCTGATGACCTGGACTATGCTTTTGGTTGGGTACTCATGGTACATGATGCGCCGAAGCATGGACTTCAGATTCAGTCCACCACCATTGTTGCCTGACACCTTGTCCAAGTTCATGGGACCACAGGTGACTCATGAGTATATACAAGCCTGGAAGGCCTTGTTACATGGACACTTGTTCGAGTACGTGGACGATTGCGCCGTGCCACAGAAAACGGGAACATCGGTGCCGCAATGAGGCACCAACAGATGCAACGATGGTTGGCATCACCTTCCAACTGCAAGCCTGCAAGATCATGAAAAGACTCTGAACTCTTTGAATGAGGAGTACGACTTGTCAGAGGACGACAACTCACCCAGCTATAACCTGGGAAGAGATGAACGTGATCTCCTTTCAACGAGCCACGAGGAGATCCACAGGTGCATTGTCTCTGGAACTTCAACGAGTTGAGGTGATAGTGGATCTACTGTGCACCTTTGCAGAGATCTTCAAAGATCCAGAGGTTCCTGACCCTGACTCAGATGAGTCGATGCGTGAAGAGACAAGATCAGAAAGATTGAGGAGGTATCAGAACGCAGAACAAGGAGAAGTCAGCGATCCAGACGCTTGGGCGGTTTTGCACTATGGAAGGCCGCCAGCAGAATCAGCTGACGAGGAAACAACAGAGGAGCTGCAAGAGTTTTGAAGGAACTCAAACAGTGAGAGAGGCCAAATTTTCAGATGATGCCACACGTGTTTGTCATTAGGATGGGACACAGGATTCTCATCATTGGCAACAGCGTCAAAGCAGTTTCACTACACAGCTGCTCCGATAGAGGTGACAACACGGACTGACAAGAGTCCTAAGGAACAATGACAGTAAAGCAGCAAAGCTGCTAACTGAGATGGGGTGAACATTATTGACTCACCTTGGACTCAGTTGACACTTCTGTGCAGACAGTAGATCATGCAGTTTGTCATTCACGACATGTTGAATCGACTGTGCATTCTTGAGACGCTTTCGGTTCCAAAAAGATTTGCACTATACCGCGGCGATAGCCTCACCAGTTTTTACATTATTACTGGTTTGGTTTTGTTCCGCGGCTAGATTTGTAAGACGCCAAGCGACGTTTTCATTTTTCTCCTGGTTTAGACTGGGAGGGTTTTGGGTGGCAATGCACTTGCGTAACTAGTACGCATTCGCGACTCGTTGCGACTGTGTATTTGTTAGTAAGGGCTTGGTAAGAGTCCGGTATGTACTCTTGCCTCGGTGCCTTTGCCCTTTGCTGCCCCGGTTCTGGTGCGTCCGGTTTTGGCTTGGTTGTCTGGTTTCTTCTTGTCTCCCTTCCGCGATCTACTGCTGTGGCGCCGTGCTGCGTTCTTTGCTCCTTGGTTGGGTTCGATTGTTAACCCTCGGCGGTAGGGAACTCGGAAGTGGATGACGTCTAAACTCCAAACAGTTGGTCAAACTAACTGGAAACCAAATCTACAGGAATGTGGTTTTTGGAGTTTGATTTTTTACGTCCGGTTTTTTCCCTGCACGTTGAATAAAGGGTTCTGAAAGAACTCACGAGAAAACATGTATGTATTCATGCCTTGGTTTTCCACTTCTCGGGGTTTTATTTCTCTTGTGAAATGTTTTTCCGGGTTCTTGAAAAAACATTCGGAAACAAACTTGGAATTTTGACCAAGTGATTTCATCTATATTATGTCCACAACGTTTTAGTGGATCAAAACATTGGGTTGGTGCAATTTTTTAGCCCACCCAACCACACCTGGGAGGATCAATGGTTCGGTGACCAATGCAAGTCAGCCACAAGATCCAAAGGTTGTGATAGCCAACTCAACAATTGGAACCTAAAAGGAAAAAACGAGATCATCCATTCAGTGCGCTCACGTTGTTTTTCACTTGTCAGTGATGTCACTTGTTTTGCACAGTTTTGTCTACTGCAGTATACATGTGACGCGATATATTATTTCTATGTATACCGTGGCGATAGCCTCACCAGTTTTTATATTATTACTGGTTTGGTTTTATTCCGCGGCTAGATTTGTAAGACGCCAAGCGACGTTTTCATTTTTCTCCTGGTTTAGACTGGGAGGGTTTTGGGTGGCAACGCACTTGCGTAACTAGTACGCATTCGCGACTCGTTGCGACTGTGTATTTGTTAGTAAGGGCTTGGTAAGAGTCCGGTATGTACTCTTGCCTCGGTGCCTTTGCCCTTTGCTGCCCCGGTTCTGGTGCGTCCGGTTTTGGCTTGGTTGTCTGGTTTCTTCTTGTCTCCCTTCCGCGATCTACTGCTGTGGCGCCGTGCTGCGTTCTTTGCTCCTTGGTTGGGTTCGATTGTTAACCCTCGGCGGTAGGGAACTCGGAAGTGGATGACGTCTAAACTCCAAATAGTTGGTCAAACTAACTGGAAACCAAATCTACAGGAATGTGGTTTTTGGAGTTTGGTTTTTTACGTCCGGTTTTTTCCCTGCACGTTGAATAAAGGGTTCTGAAAGAACTCACGAGAAAACATGTATGTATTCATGCCTTGGTTTTCCACTTCTCGGGGTTTTATTTCTCTTGTGAAATGTTTTTCCGGGTTCTTGAAAAAACATTCGGAAACAAACTTGGAATTTTGACCAAGTGATTTCATTTATATTATGTCCTGATAGACATGTCTCCAAAGGACATACCCCCATGCCATGCAAGTTTACAGTCAGTTGCATACATGTGCAACATGTTACGTTCTGAAGGCTTTCAATTGCCTCAAGAGAAAAGCAGGGCGCCCACGTTCAGTGCATTTCCTTGCTGCCTAATATGGTAGCGGAGCCCTTGTGAAAGGGCACTGGGTTCAACGCCATGGATGATGCAACAGTGGCGCAGCTGGTGGCTTCGACTTCCGCCAGTGCCGAGGCGATAGCAGAGGTGGCCAAGGCCTTGAAGCTGAAGTTTGGTGAGGAGAAACGTGACCGTTTCTCTGAGGCCTCAAAGGTGGTGAGACAGCCCGATGTTTTCTCTCCTGCCACTCCTGAGGAGGAGTTGAGCCAATGGCAGGACTGGAAACTCAGTTTCCAAAGCTGGCTGACATATGCCCAGACTGAGTTCGAGAAAGACTTTAAGGAGGCTGAAAGCTCAGAAGGCCCCATGGACTTCGTGGAGATGACCCCGCAGCAGCACGAGAGAGCAGAGAAACTCCATTCAATACTGGTTGGAGTCCTACGCAACCGACCCTTGAAGATACTTCGAAGTGTTGAAGGAAGAAATGGATTGGAGGTGTGGCGGCAGCTCACCATGCAGATGCAGCCCCGCACCCGTGCCAGATCGATAGCGCTACTTCAAGCGTTTCTTGGACACCCACCTTTCAAGAAGGAGGGCATCCTGGAGCAGATCTTGGGTCTTGAGCGTTTAGCTGAAGAGTATGCCCAGGTTAGCAAGGAGGAGATGAGCGACAACACCAAACTCTCGGTGCTCTTGAGGGTGGTACCTTCTCAACTGCGTCAACACTTGCAGTTGCAGATGGATGACAAGTCTGACTATGCTTCGACAAGGGAGCGGGTGTTGGCCTATGAGAGGACAACCACTTCATGGACGTCGAGCACTGTGTACCGGGAGCTTGACATCAAGAAAGAGGAGAAGCACGACGAGGCAGTTCCTATGGACGTGGATCGCGTCAAGGGCAAGATGAAGGGCAAGCAGAAGGGAAAACACAAAGGTGGCAAAGATGCTAAAGGCAAAGGAAAATGGAAAGACAGCGGCAAGGTGAAGGGCAAGGACAAAAGCAAGTCAAAGGACTATGGCAACTATGGAAAAGGGGCAGACAATCGTGGCAAAGGTAAGGGATTGCCGTCTGATGTCTGCAAACTATGTGGTGGCCGAGGGCATTGGTCTAGAGAGTGCCCGGTGAGGAACTTGCGCCAGGTGAGTCAAGATGCTGCATCGACAGTGGCAACGCAGTCTTTGGTCAGCAGTGGCTCAGGGGCGCAGCAGCATGGAAGTGGTGCACGGAGTTCAAGGCCCTGGCACCACAGCAGTTCGAAGAGTGACCTACTTCGACTTGGATGAGACGGCCACGGTGGATGAGCCCTACATCAGAACGGTAGCTGCAGAGGAGACCTATGACATGACGTATAGTGACTCTGATAGCGATTGGCACCTTTGTGAGGAAGTTCAACATGGTGGTGAGGTCTACTTCGAGGACTTTACCAACGCTTCTGTGGAGCCCTATGGCGAGATGGATGGAGGTTCAAGGCCCCATGCAGAAATCAGAGGAGTCCAGCTGTCCAAGGAAGTCCACATCATCCTTGACAGCGGTGCAGATATGTCGGTGCTTCCTATGAGCTATGGCACAACAGGGAAAGCTCTACGTCAACGCAGCGTTCTACGGGATGCTCAAGGACATCTCATGCCTGGTGGTTCCTTGCGCCAGGCTGTCATCGAGATCGAGGACGACAATGGCAATGTGGCACAGTTGAAGGAGACATTTGCTTTGTCAAAGGTGTCTGAACCTTTGGTGGCCCTGGGAAAACTCTTGAAGAGAGGTTGGAAAGTTGAGGGCGACGGCAATGACGTCAAGTTGGCCTATGGAGACTTCTCCAAGACCATTGGTTTCAGGAGCAACAGTTTGTCAACGGTGGCAACAATTCGAATGGTGGAGGTGCCTCAAGCAGCAGTTCGAGCTGTGACCATGACCTTTGAAGGTATGATGGTGAACCTACTCACAGTTCCTGGATGGCATCTGTCTTTGGATAGGAAGGTTCCTTTTCTGGTGGTCATGAATTCAAAGAATTATCATGACTCCTTCCCACAGTTCCAGCGCACAGACTTTCCTTTTCGAACAACCATGGTGCTGAAGGACAAGGTTTGGGAAGTTGTGGAATGGGCTGAACAGTCCAGCCATGAGGATGAGATCGAGGAGTGCAATGGTGACACAACAACAGTGGTGACATTCTTCCATCAACAGCCTGTTGATGTGATGGCAGTTGGCATCGTGAACACTGGTGCCGACGATCCTTTCTTGCAGCCCAAGGTGAGAGAGGATGCACCCAAAGGTAAGGACGTCAAAGATAGGCAGGGCTTTGGATGGTATGGCAGGTCTTTGGAAGATGGAGTCTACGAAGTGGAGGACTCTGACGTGGAAGTTGGCCCACAACATGACACAAGTGAAGGTGACCCTGTTCATCGAGAAGTTCCAAAGCATGCAGAAGGTGATGAGCCTGAGGAGATCGAGATTGAGGGTGTGAAGTACACTCCAACAACAACCCTTTCGAAGATGAGGATTGGTTTGAAGATGTGTGGATTGCCTAAGGGCAGAAGCAAGGCTGATGCGTGGAAGCGCTTGGTGGAACATCATAGGCATTTTGCCGAGAACCTGGCAGTGGAGTTGGCACAACGTGAGTTTGAGCGACAAAGAGCTGGAGAAGGTGGAGATGATGCTCGACCACAACATGTGCCCAGGCTTCCAACAAAGGCTGAGAGACAGATCCATGAGCTGACACATTGGCCCTACGCAGACTGGTGTCAGAGCTGTGTGGCGTCGAGAGCAAAGTCTGACCCACATCGTCGCCAAGGAGCTCTGCGAGATGAGACAAAGTCTGAGTACCCAATTGTCTCCATGGACTTCTGCTTCACTCGAAGCTTGGTGGAGGCCAATGAGGAAGACAAGGAAGATCTGAGACGCTATGGAGGTGATGCACGTGGAGGAGTTTGCCTGGTCATCACTGATGATTGGACCCATGGAGTTCTTGCAGTCCCAACTCCTGGAAAGGGAAGATCCCACGTGAAGTACTTGGCTGAGCAGGTGGTGCGCTACATTGGGTCATGCGGTTTCTCTTCATGCACGATGAAGGCCGACGGTGAGCCTGCAATGAGAATGTTGCTGGACGTGGTGCAGAAATGCCGGCAACGTCTTGGTTTCAAAACGCGGTGGAATACAGTGGCCCAGGTGACAGCCAAGCCAATGGAAGGATTGAAAGAGAAATCCAAACGGTGAGAGGTCTTGCAAGGACGTTGGTGAATCGACTTCGAGAAGGAGCTGGCATACAGATCAACGTGATGGGACCCATATTCCAATGGGCACTTCGGCATGCAGGTTGGCTCATTAGCCATTTCAGGCGTCACAATGGGAGCCCCACAGCCTACGAGATGGTGACTGGCAGGAAATTTCAAGGAAAACTTGCCATCTTTGGAGAACGAGTTCTAGCTCGACTACCTGGTGGCAATGGAGATGACAAGTTCAGACCAGCAGTCTGGCTGGGGAAAACGGACAGAGCAGATTTCCATGTGGTGGCAACAAGTGACGGCCTACGGTGGACACGCGCTGTAAGGCGTATGCCTGTAGCTTTCGAAGCAGCCGTACTCAACAATGTGAGGACCTGGCCTTGGAGTGTTGCTTTTGGCCAGATTGGGACGAAGGCAACCCCCTTGATCACCAAGAATGAGAACGTGGCTCTACCACCTGATCTTTCTGTACCTCTTCGACTTCAAGAACGACAAGATCGACGACAAGCACGACAGGCACAGCAGTCAGGTGGAGGCCAACAAGCACTTGAAGATGGAGATCAAGGACAGGCAGGGCCAGACGAGGCAGCTTCTGACCCAACATCAAAATCTTTGTCAGCAAGCCCAAGTTTCTTGAGTATGAGTTCGGCAAAGGAGATCGATGACGACACCCTTTTGGAGGACTTGGTTGTGGAGGTGAAGAAGGACAAGAACTATGCTGATGATGTTGAAACATCTCCCAAGCGTGGTGGTGAAGCGTTTGGGGAAGAGGAGCAAAGTCCAAGCAAAGCCGCAAGGGTGATGCTAAAGAAAGCTATGAGGTTTTCAGAAGGAGAAGGAAGAGAACAACCAACATCGGCGTTGAGTGCAAGTTCAACATCTGGAGCTGGTGGAGAAGCTCAACCAGCTGGTGACCCACAGGTGAGAGTCGTCGTGGCCGGTGAGCTTTTGGAGGATGGTGACATGGATATGGAATTCCCTGATCGCCCACCAGACCTTTCTCCAGATGAGTTGACTGAGGTTGAGAATCAAGCAGCAGAGCTGGAGATCAAACGTCTCATCGACATGGGAGTTCTTCGAACACCTCGAGCTGGTGAAGATCTGTCAAGCACCCCTACCTTGACAACACGGCTAGTTTGTGACTGGCGAGTACGTGAAGGGACTTGGCAGAGGAGAGCAAGGCTAGTTGCAAGAGATTTCAACTGGCTGGATCCCAACAGGAGTGACACTTTTGCTCCAACGGGCACCCAATCAACAATGCGTTTGGTGCCTGCTTTGAGTCAGCTGAAACAATGGAAAATGATGGTGGCGGACGTGAAGGACGCATACCTCAACTGCGAGCAGCCAAAGAACGTCAAGGTGGTCCTTGGAGCAGACTTGGCAAGTCGACTTGGTGTGGCACGTGAATGGATGCTGGGAAAAGTTCTACCAGGACAACGTGAAGGAGCAGCTGTGTGGTTCAACACCTTGAAGGCTACACTCAAGGATGGTGGCCTACTTCAGTGTGCTGAAGCTCCAACAGTTTGGACAAATCGAGAGAAGACCTTAGCTTTGATGATCCACGTGGACGACATGGTCATGACAGGTGAAGATGAGGAGCTAGAGAAGGTCGAGGCTTTTCTCAAGAAGAAGTTCCAACTGAAGGTGGAGAGCGGTACACAGCTGAGTTTCTTGAAAAGAAGTATCGAGGTTGTGGACGGTGTCACAAAGGTCAAGGTGAACGAGAAGTACATCGAGGGCTTGGTGAATTTGTTTCCAGGTGTCAAAAGACGCAAAACACCAGGTGACATCATCATCGACAACGAGCCCTTAACCAATGACATCGACATCCAGAAGTACAGGAGCGCAGTGGGGACGCTGTTGTATGTGTCTGGGGACAGGCCAGACACCCAATTCTTCATCAAAGAGTTGGCGGCAAAACTTCAAGTTCCAACTCGTGGCTCAATGAGCAGTTTGCTCAACCTGATTGGTTACATGGTGACGACCAAGGACATTCATGTGGAGATGACAGGTACAGATCCTGGTCGAAGTTTCAGGTATCGAGCTGAAGGGTTGACCACAGCCCCTACCTACGTGGAGAAGGACGGCATTTGGTTGATCGAGGTTGCGACAGACAGCGACTGGAGCGGCCACAAAGAAACAAGATCATCTACCAGTTGTGGAAGCATGTACCTTGGAGGTATCTGGATCCACTCATATTCCAGAACCCAGAAGAACATCACTCTCAGTTCTTCTGAAGCCGAATTTGTAGCGTTGGTTGGTGGTGCGTCAGAGGGCCTGTTCATCAAAGCAGTGGTGGAACACTTGGTGGACGGCAAAGTGGAGCTGAAGGTGCTGGGAGACAACACAGCATCAATTGCAATTGCAGCCCGAGATGGAGTCTGCAGACTGAAGCATGTTTCAGGACGATTGCTTTGGATTCAGCAAAGGCAACAACGAGGTGAACTTCAACTACGGCGCATCGACACCGTGACCAACGTAGCCGACATGGGAACAAAAGTTTTGGCTGGAAGGAGAGTGAGGATGTTACTACATCTTTGTGGTTTCCAAAACGATTGGGGAGATCTTGGTGTGGCTGAGTTTGAGGAGGAGAAATACAAGAAGGACGCGCGGGAGAAGATCAAGGCGGTGAGGAAAATCGTTCATGCAGAGGTGCTGGACACACCGACCAGAGAAAACAGCACCCTGGTGAACCAAGTTGCAAAGCGTCTCATGCGATTGACGCTTGGCGCCTTACTTCTTAGCGGTGGTGAAGCCTTGAGCCTTCCACATCAAAGCAGTGCTCAATGCTTGGTGGCTATGGACACTACATCATCCAGTTTGCCATGGACAACAACTATGTTGGTGACCCTGGTCTTCATCTTGGTGGTGACGATCATTGTGCTTATCAAGATCATGCATGTCATGCACCTGAGGATCGAAGCAACCCGGGAGGCAATGGACTGGGTGAGACAACAACTTCGACAAAGTCGAGACCGTGTGAGGATTCGAAACGAAGAGCAACAAAGGCTTGGAGTGTGGTTGGAGACTGACGACGAGGAGGATTCAGATGTACCAGATCAAGGTGGAGGCAGTGATGGAGAAGACCCACATGTCAACGGACGGGTAGCTCACATACGTCGCATGACCAAGGAGGAGTTCTACAACGGCTCAGAAGAAGAGATGGAATCAGAAATGGAAGAAGTGGAGGTTGAAGTTGAACCTGAAAGTGGTTCTGCAGGGGCGGCTGGTTCAGCTTTGGCACCTGCAGCAAGTTCGATGGTGGAGAACGACTTCGACTTCGACTTTGACAGCATCTCTATGTCTGGTGCAAACCTTGGTGGAGGCGATGATGGCTATGTGAGTCAGAATGACATGGAGCAGGAAGAAGAGGAGGACGAGGTCGATACCGACTATGGATCGTTGGTTGGCATCGACGAGGACTTCAGTGTCTTCGAGAACTTGGACAGCAGGGAGTACGATGACTATCGTTTCCTACTTCTTGCTGAAGGACGTGGAGTCGAGGACTATATCATCAAGAAGCTTGCTTTCTTGCGCAGCCTTCCAGTGACCCGAGAAGTGTGGACCGGAATTCAGGGAATTCAGGAGTTCTTCAACATCCACGAGGCAGTGCAGCTGGGAGGCATAGAAGTGAGGAAGAGGGCCATTCGTTTTCTTTTGGCCCGCAAGCGCTACATCTTTTGGTATGAACAAGGACGAGTACCCCCAGGAGAGCTCTTGGAGGAGACAGAGATGGTGGACGAGTGGCTGGCAGCACACTATGGTTGGGGTGAACCAACAACTGCCCAACCAAGTGCTGGCCCCAACGACGAAAGTGATTGGTCTCCGAGTGAAGGCCCTGTGGGGATTACCGATGGAAGTGGAGATGAAAGAGATGAAAGAGAAGAAAGAAGGGATGGAGGTGGTGGCACTCGCGATGATGGCCCACCACCGGTAGTGACTGAGGAAGTAGCACCAGCTACTGGATCGTCTTCTACCACAACAACAACCTCTAAAGCCAAAGGGAAGTGCGGTGGCAAAGGACACCACCGTATGGACCTCAAGGACCCACCTATGGATGATGAAGCGGACGGGCATGTCTAGGTGGTTTTGTTTCAATGAGCTTGACAACATGTCAGGCCATTTTACAAAAAGGCAGGGTGATAGACATGTCTCCAAAGGACATACCCCCATGCCATGCAAGTTTACAGTCAGTTGCATACATGTGCAACATGTTACGTTCTGAAGGCTTTCAATTGCCTCAAGAGAAAAGCAGGGCGCCCACGTTCAGTGCATTTCCTTGCTGCCTAATATGTCCACAACGTGTTAGTGGATCAAAACATTGGGTCTGTGCAATTTTTTAGCCCACCCACCCACACCTGGGAGGATCAATGGCTCGGTGACCAATGCAAGTCAGCCACAAGATCCAAAGGTTGTGGTAGCCAACTCAACAATTGGAACCTAAAAGGAAAAAAAAATCATCCATTCAGTGCGCTCACGTTGTTTTTCACTTGTCAGTGATGTCACTTGTTTTGCACAGCTTTGTCTACTGCAGTATACATGTGACGCGATATATTATTTATATGTATACCGTGGCGATAGCCTCACCAGTTTTTATATTATTACTGGTTTGGTTTTGTTCCGCGGCTAGATTTGTAAGACGCCAATCGACGTTTTCATTTTTCTCCTGGTTTAGACTGGGAGGGTTTTGGGTGGCAATGCACTTGCGTAACTAGTACAGCAGAGAGCTGTAGATATGACGATATATGACGCAAAGGCTGGCCATAGGGAAAAAATAACTCCGTGCAGCACCTTGTGACCTTGTGCTTGTTGCCTCAGGCCTCGACATTTGATAGTGACAAGTATGACAAGTGACTTTGGTTTGGGGATGGTTTGGGTTGGCACAGATGACATCGGATAGTGACCGTAGTCACGCGTCCCGCCTTGTCCAGCTGGAGTCTTTAAAGACAGCTGTTATCATCGGGCTGTTGCTGAAGCCTCAGGCCCAAGTCAGCCTAGACACCTTGTTGTTGACGTACTTGCCATGGTTCCATGGGGCCTTATAGTAGAGCATCAAGCAAATCTGCCAGCTTTCCAAGACTGAAACATTTTGGTCACTTTTGGATCTTTTTCATTATTGTGGGAAGCGCGCATGGAACAGAAGACATGGCCACTGATGATACTGTCGGTGAGACATGGGACATAGATGTGTGGGACCCTAAGAATTTCTTGCAGACTGCACCGCACTTGGCGCAGCAGGCTGCTACCCAAGATGCTCCAACTGCAGACAAATCAAAAAGTATGAACCAGTTTGAAGTGTTCTCAAGACCGAGATCAAAGACGCATGCAATGCCCAGAATTCTTGAGCAACTCAGCAAGTGCCTGGTTGCTCTTACATACACAGGTTTTTCTATGCTTTGCGCCGACCTTTGCCTGATTGGCTTGCAATCGAAACAACCCCAAGATCCAAGAGTGAAAGAAGGTTGTTCCAATAGCTGGTGGGTATTTATGGGGTTGATATATGCCCTGGTCTATTTCTCCACAGACCAATACGTGCCTTCGCTCCCACAGATGGAGAAGGACTTGGGTGGTTCACAGTCATTGATGAGTGGAACTGTGCAGATGAATCTGTTCGTGAAGGCAACCTTTGGTCTGTTGGCTGCAGGTTTATCTGACCGGATTGGCCGCCGACCAGTCGTGTTGTTTTGCACCTTCCTTCTGTCCCTGGCCTCATTCTGCTGTGCCTGTGCTAATCAGATTGAGTGGTTCATCCTTGCGCGCGTTCTTCAAGGGATGGGGGAGTCCATTGAACCTGTTGTCTTCGCGATGGCTAGGGATCACTACCCTGAAGAACGGGTGAGGATCATTGCTGCACTCCAGATGATTGCCTTTGTGGGTATCGCTGTTGCTCCTTTATTTGGCGGTGTCTGTGCACACTTCCTGGACTGGCGATCCTCATTTTTTTCCTTGGCATTAATTTGGATGTTGGTGGGTTTTTACGCTTGTGCAAACATGATGGAATGCTGTCCTGATGGTCCTCGTGAAAGCTATTTCAAGGATGTACAGCGCATTCTGAACCCGCACCTTATCTGCTTGCTGCTGAGCGAGAGCTTTATCATGGGAGCGTATTTCATCTTCAATGCCAATAGCAGCTATTTGGTTGAGGTCAGCTTCGGCCAATCTGAGCTGTCCTCATCCATGGGCATGTTCGGCTTTGCTGTGTTTTGTGGTTTGGGAACCTGGTTTCTTGATCAGGTTCCGATGAGTGTCCTGAGTCGGGGTCGATGGGCTTCCGGCCTCCTGGCCATCAGTGGCATCATGTCCTTATTTCTGACAGCTTCTTGAATTGGAATTGCTGAGTCGTGACATTTTCCCATCAGTGAATCCGGCGGAAGTGGGGAATCTATATTTATAATTCATAATTATATATATATATTTTTTGGTGGCCCATGTCGACTCCATACGTATGCGAGCCCAAATCAGCGCAAAGCCAAGGCTTACTTTCCGAATGACTTCTGGGCGTACCTGGTGGGATCCTTCGTGCAGGGTTCCATGATGATCGCCAGCTTGGTGCGGAGGGCAAAAAAAAATCTGGGACCGTAAACAAATTCATTTGACAGAATTGACCAGCCAATTCTTGCCAATTTCCACTTCTGGGCTCGGTTTCTTTTACTGGGGGATTGACCCTAAATTTGCATGGTCAATGCATGACCATTTTGGGATTGGTAGATGGAGAACGTTTAACTTTCGAAAAGATGGGGAAGGACGGTTTTCCAAAATTTTCAGCGAAACCCGCCATGGCCAACATTGCGACAGGTTGCCGCCAACGTGCTCTTTTTCGAGCCCTTGGAGGACTGCGCTGGCATGGCTGCCTCCTTTGAGATTCTGGCACAGAGTGTGCTTCCCTCGTTCTTCTCGGCCTTTGCCACGCAGTCCATGATTCACTTCAGAGACTGGGTTTTGGTGGTTTCAGAAGCAGATTTTCTTTCCGTTTCCAAGCCAAAATGGGAACATGATCCACATGATCCCATTTTTTTTTACTTTAACATATTTTGCATACATTTGCCATACATGAAAATGGGATGATGATTCCGAGCGATTTTTCATGGGTCGTGGCTGAGCCATCAACCAGGAGAGCCTGTGGTGGGTCTGACACTGCCGCAGGCGAGCTGCTGCATGGCCGCGGGCGCACTGTTCTGGCTTGGTATCTCTTTCCCACCACGACCTCGGCCTTTCCTGCATCTTCCCCTGCTTTTGCAGGACAGTGAACAGTGTTTTGGTTGTTCATTGAGGTGAGGATTCGCTTGGTGACAGCATTTGGAAAGCTTGCGACGATTCCCGTGGATCTGCATCAACAGCTGCTCGAACAGCAGAAAACTGCTGTGTGTACAGCAGAGAGCTGTTGAGATGACCCAAGGGCCATCAGATGGACATGCTAATATTTTCCTTGGCGTTGCCTTCTTTTCAACTTATGAATCTTACAGCCTTACAGCTATAAAAATTGCATAGAATGCTATACAGTCAGCATTCATCGTATAGGGAAATAGGGCAGCAGCCTCTGCTTGTTGCCTCGTGCATGGTCCGGGGATATTTTGGCAGGACAGAGGGGCCGCCCGCATCGAAGCATGCCTTGTGTGTTGAGAATGTTGAGAAACAGATCCGTGGCGGCAGCCGTCCATCTCACTCACCTCATTTAACTGGAGTATCTGGAGTCCGTTTTAAAGACATCTGTTATCATTGTTATCATGTTTCTTGCATGGAATCATGGGGATGTTGCTGAAATCTGGTCTCGAATTCCAGTTGGGCCCAAGTCAGCCTGGTCACACCAGGTCGTTACCGTACTTCCCTGCCATGATGCCATGGCGTCTCATAGAAGAGCAAGAGTGAAACATTTGTGTTGCTTTTGGATCTTTTTCATTGTTGTCGGAAGCGCGCATAGAACCGAGGACTTGGCCACTGATTTCAATGTGGGTGAGACATGCAATTTAGATGTGTGGAACCCTGAGAGTTTCTTGCAGATCGCAACGCACTTGGCCGCGCAAGCTGAAACCCAAGATGCTCCAAGTACCCACAAACCGAAGAGTATGAAACAGGTTGAAGTGTTTTCCAGACAGAAATCGATGACACATGCAATGCCCAGAATTTTTGAGCAACTCAGCAAGTACCTGGTTGCTTTTGCATACACGAGTTTTTCTATGGTTTGCGCGGGCCTTTGCTTGATTGGCTTGCCTTCGAAACAACCCCAAGATCCAAGGGTGAAAGAAGGTTGTTCCACTAGCTGGTGGGTATTTATGGGCTTCATCTATGCCCTGGTTTATTTCACCACAGACCAATATGTGCCTTCGCTCCCACAGATGGAGAAGGACTTGGGTGGTTCGCAGTCGTTGATGAGTGGAACTGTGCAGATCAATCTGTTCGTGAAGGCAGTCTTTGGTCTGTTGGCTGCAGGTTTATCTGACCACATTGGCCGCCGACCAGTGGTGTTGTTTTGCATCTTCCTTCTGTCCCTGGCCTCATTCTGCTGTGCCTGTGCTAATCAGATTGAGTGGTTCATCCTTGCGCGCGTTCTTCAAGGGATGGGGGAGTCCATTGAACCTGTTGTCTTCGCGATGGCTAGGGATCACTTTCAGGACCCTGAGGAACGGGTGAGGATCATGGCGGCACTCCAGATGATTGCCTTTGTGGGTATCGCTGTTGCTCCTTTCTTTGGCGGTGTCTGTGCACACTTCCTGGACTGGCGATCAACATTTTTTGCCTTGGCATTAATTTGGATGTTGGTGGGTTTTTGTACTTGTGCAAACATGATGGAATGCTGCCCTGATGGTCCTCGTGAAAGCTATTTGAAGGATGTACAGCGCATTGTGGACCCGCACCTTATCTGCTTGCTGCTGAGCGAGAGCTTTGTTTTGGGAGCGTATTTCATCTTCAATGCCAATAGCAGCTATTTGGCTGAGGTCAACTTCGGCCAATCTGTGCTGTCCACATCCGTCATCATGCTCGGCTTTGCCGTGGTTTGTGGCTTGGGGGCCCTGTGCGCTGATCAGATTCAGGCGAGTGTCCTGAGTCGGGGTCGATGGGCTTCCGGCCTTCTGGCCATCAGTGGCATCATGTCCCTAGTGCTGACAGCTTTCTTTCCGAATGACTTCTGGGCGTACCTGGTGGGATCCTTCGTGCAAGCGAGCATGATGGTCACCAGCCAGGTCGGGACAGCTACACAATTATGCGACCCTCAGAATAGATACCGGGGTTCCTACCACCCATATCTCAGAATAGATAGTTTCAGTTAGTTTCATTATGTTTCAAGTTTTCATCAGTGTAATTCAGAAGTTTAGCAAAAATGATGAGCCCTTTGATGGGCAATGGGGGAAGGATGTTTTCCCACC